TGACTCTCGTCAAGCGCCATCATTTATATGATGAAGTTAGAGATCGTTTTAGCCCTGGGGTCGTCTCTGGCAAACTTCTTGCCTTTTTCAAAAGCCTAGTCGATAGGTAAAAGCCCCGGTGCCTTTGCAGCTGGCTTTGGATTCGCCGCTAGTTTAGCAGCGCAGGCGTCTTCGTACGCTTTTAACACACCATCGTAGCGATGGCAATGTTTCAGGTGACTAATCAGGTTGGAAGTATTATAGCTCGTTGCCTTTTTCCCTCCTCGTGGAACTTCTGCATTGCATTTGTTAATACAAATAGCAAGCGAACTATCTAACTCTGAAACTTTGAAATAGTCCCATACTACCGGCGACATGTTTGTTTACTGTCCTGGCTTCACGGCCGCACACCATTTACGTCACAGCCAGGCATGAGTTAGGGAGCGCTGGATTTGTGAAAAACTCCCCTCTTCCTAAACCACTAATACCACGGTACTGGCAAAACGGGAGGAGCCGAGTGAAAAACAAGCGCCCCTCATCCCAATCCACCCACACCGCAGTATTTTTTTCTTTTTTTTTACCCAAAAAATATATTGTATATTATCGGGGCTATTAATACTTTTATCGGGTTTATCGGGATGACGTCATAATTCCTAATATCGGACCGATAATTATCGGGCCGATAATTATCGTGCACCACTAGTTTTTTTATGAGACTGGGTTGGAATTCCCCATAAAAAAACACACAATTTAGACACCCCCATGTTAGGATTTCCTTCAGATTCATGTCAGCACCTGAGTATGACCCGCCCTATTGGTGTATGATCAAATTTGATTTCTAATTTTAAATAAAAGAAAATAAATGTACAGTTATTGTCAAACAGGAGTTAAATAAATGTCTCGCTTATTCTAAGAATATATTTCAAGGTAATATCTTCTACAATAATGGACAAAGTAAAGAATTAAGTGTATGTTTAAATGTTAGCACCCCCGAAGAGGCTCAAACTCTTACGTTGAGTCTGGAGTTTCAATGCATTCGGCATTTGGCCGTGTCAAATGTCCTCTTGGGTTGCCGTACAACCAATGCGTGACATCATTGGTAAGAGTAACGGACCCCGAACACATCTGGTAGACCGAACACATACTGACACCGGGTATAAAGCTTTAAAAAAAAATGCGGGACGGGCAGCTACTGTCTAAACTAAATACTGCGGTGATGAAACGCCATATCATGGATTATCAAGGATTATTTCTGAAACAGTATGGAGCTCAAAGGCTTTCTCTCTTGCTGGTTTACCACAAGGTGAGTTCCTTTTTATTTCCTGCTTCTTCACACACATGCTTTGTGCAGTACAGGTTAGCTCTGAGTGTTAGCGATGCTTGCTAATGTAAACAAAGGCCATATTACGTCCACACAGTGGCGTTTCTAGGTGTACAAAACTGGGGGGGCAGAAAGAGGTCGGGGGAGAGAGAGAGAGAGAGAGGGGGGGGACAGAGAGAGGGAGGAGAGATGAGAGGGGGGGGACAGAGAGAGGGGGGGAGGAGAGAGAGAGGGGGAGTGTCAAATTACATACTGAAGACCACAGGAGCAACACTGTGAGCGCATACATTTACGTACACAGCGTGGGGATGTCATAGTAATGCACCTTCATACATGGAGTAAAGGTCACCATCACAAAGTAATTCTTAACAATAACAACAACCGTAATGCTTTAGCATTAAAACACCATAGACTGTAAATATAAGGAAAACACAGACACTCATCATCGATGTCACAATATCAATCGATCCAGCAGAGGCAAAACACAGAAGATCAACAAAATATATGACATAAATGAACTTACCAAAGCTGAAGGCTCACTTGAAAAGAAAAGCGGCACGGCGGTCCTTCCTCTGACAGAATGTGTCTATCACTTTGGGGATGAAGTCCTGTAGTTGCTGGATCAACTGGCTTTCAATTGAAAGCATGGCCAATGCGTTAAGTCGCGGCTGTCCCATGGTGTTGCGAGTGAAAGTCTTTATCCTTTTGAGGGTGGAAAAGTTCCTCTCTGACTCGGATGTCGTCATCGGAGTTGTCACTATTATTTTGACCAAAATAACAGTCTCAGCAAACGTTTCCTCCAAGTTGTTCTCGTGAATGGATTTCAACAGAGACAGGGCAGTGTTTCCAGTGTGAAGCTCACTGTGGCGGTAGAGCGTGGTCAGCTCAGACTTCAACTTCTCCTTGTTTCCCAACGCAGGCCACAGTTTCACGGCGCAGTCAAGCTCAGGTGTAGGAAATGACAGGACATGCTGTGGGAAGAATGAGCTGTCAACAAGCTTTGCAGCGATCAAATGGTCACTCTGTGAGAACCTCTGTTCCACCTGTGAGATGACTGTGTCACAAGCCTCCTTCATCACCGGCGCTGTGCTGCTGACTCGTCGGCCTGGCTCGTCTGTTCCATCATGAGCAGTGGCGGCCAATGCATCAGTTTTCTGCCTCATTTTCTGAACATTTTCCTTGAAACGGCAGAGCGCGCTGTTGATCTCAGGTGCATCGATGCTTCGTTTTTGCAGAGTGTTGTATAGAACATCCACTTCTGGCATAAGCAACGAAAAAAACTCCAGGAGCTGCATAAATGCTCGGTCCCGCAGTTTCTTTGACAGGCCGTATGCCTCACTTATGGTGACCGCATCCCATCCTGGTTGTGCGCGTATATGCTTCATACACTGAAGTAGTGCATCTCGGGTCTCCCAAACCGCGTTCACAGTTCTGCTTTTAAAGTTCCATCTCACAGCCGGTGGCCGTGGGATGCGTCTCTGTGTTGCCTCTGCAAGAGCTGCAACACGTTTTGGAGCACCGGAGAAAAAAGTGGAAAAAGCAGTTAGATCTGCAAAAAACACCTTCAGGATGCTCATCCTTGCTGAACACAGTTGCTGCAGGGTCAGGTTCAGTTGGTGGGCGTAGCAGTGAACAAACTGAGCGTTTGGGTACGTCTCCTTCATCACCGTCTGTACCCCGCGCACGTTACCGCTCATGACGGCCGCCCCGTCATAGGTCTGAGCGATTAGCTTTTCTTTCAGCTTCAGGGGTTCCAGAACAGCCTTGATGCTGTTAGAGAGACCTACACCAGTTTTGTCCTTTACTTCCACAAACTCCAAAAAACGCTCTGTAACTGTGAGGTCAGGCATAATGTATCGCAGCACAATCACCATTTGCGATTTACAGGAGACATCGGTTGTCTCGTCGGCCTGAACGGCAACAAATGATGTGTTGTCCACTTGCTTGGCTATTTCCTCCCTGTACACATCATACATGCAGTCCAAGAGTTCATTCTGTATGGTGCTTGATGTCCCTTTGAAAACAAGCTGAGCTTCGTAGTGCCGTTGAAGCCTGGAATCGCCCTCACACATTGTCTCGAAAATTTACCTGAATATCCCTGGATTCAGAGAGTCCGCCGACTCGTTGTGGCCCCGCAGTGCTGTCTCACATTTCCCACACAGTTTAATACAGGTGATGATCCGACCAAGCACGTACCTGTTTTCTTCCACCTTCCTATTATGAGAATCAATGCCGCGTCTGTAGGCGCTGTCAATCTGAGCTGCAACATTCACCCTTCCAAGTAATCCCAATTTTACGGCATTTTCCAAATGACTGTTGCTGCTCTCATGCTTCATTGTCCTCTCCGAAAGATGCTTTAAGTCCTTGTAACCTGTCCTCGACCAAGTACCTTGATCTTCACCAAAAGCAGGCAAGGAAAGCAAAAGAGGGAATTCTTCTGGATGCTCGCCGTTAGCCATTTATTTTTAGCAAACCACTCAGCGTTAAACCCACGTTTAACTTTGCCCGCAGTCTGGACCATTTGGAAATCCGGTGGATGGTGGGCACCGAGGCGCTTTACCTCCAGTTTCTCTCCGAGACTAAGTGTCTCAAATGTGTGCTCCAGTAAATGGTCAACTTCATTCATTTTCTTTCAGTTTTTTACTTCTTTTAATCGCTGGTGATGTTAGCTATATGCTGCTCTCTCGTCTCCTCTTCAAACTACACGTGACGTTTCGCAGCACTGCACACGTGAGTACTTACAGCCAATCAATTCTGAATTATGTGAGATGACGTATGGTGGGGATGGGAGCACTATGCCCCTACGGTCATTATTTTTTTGCCACACACATTAAATAGAAAAATACTCTGAGCATGCGCAGTGTAGTTTTTACAATCACCGTTCACTTAGACTGTGAGAGGTAGGGGCAGGATCGGGTTTTGTCCCACATGGCTCTAAACAGCTAAAAACGGCACTCTAGACACTAATTAGAAGAACACAGACTAAAACAGAAATGTACAGACGAATCAGATTATTAAACATGACCTTAAAATATATTTTATATGTTTTTTTATTTATTTTTTAGTATTTTTTTGTAATCATTATTTGTAATACTTTCTTCTGACACTAGGTGGGGCTGTGCCCCACCTGCCCCTAATGACCCGCCGCCACTGCGTCCACAACACGTCGGGCATTGCTTTCTGATAGGGCCGTGGGTCCACCACGTGAGTGCCATCCGCTATGACGTAAATAACGTCATAACGGATGGCAAATCTGGATCAGCTCCGTTGTAGCCCCGTTTTTAGAGATTTGGGTACGGAGGAAAAGAGAGAGGGTTTTATTTTCTGATACTGCGTGAGTTCCCTGACACACCGGGGACACATATTTATGTATAAAAGACATAACAAATTGCATTTTGCATGATAGGTCCCTTTAAGTATATTTGTCAATAAACACAAATCAGACATCTGGCTCTGTTAGTAGTTGTGTTTTATTTCCAATCATAATTAAAATTAAATATTTTCTATTTGAACATTCGCAAAATAAATAAAAATGTACTTTTCTCCTCACTTAAATAATTTATTGTATTTGGTTCAATGAAAATTACAATACATACATATGACTCTTAACCATGGATGAGATGTGCTCCCCTTATTCTAACAATCTAATCAATTATAACATTTAAATTATAAATCAAATTGCAGTTCAAATATACGCAACAATAACTTCAAAAACTGTCAATATTTGGATCATTATGATATCAGATGTTAACCATTAATCAAAAGTGCTTAAGCAGGGTTTGCCTTATTTTATTTCCAGCATGAATCTTAAGTTCCCTGACAACAGAGATATATTTGTTTGAAATCGGTTACTCATACATGTACAATTTTAGCAACACATACACGTACAGTTAATATTTATCTTTGCATCATATTCGTCTTGCTGTTTTTTTCTGGTTCCAGTACTATTATATAGCACTTTGGAGCAAAAATGCAAAAAAGGACACCAAAAGCTGAGGCTAAAATAGCAAAAATATGGACGGCCACAGTATATTTCCCAGCTGTGCTCACATAAACTGGAATAAATGTAATCCACACTGCGAAGAATATCAACATGCTGAAGGTGATGAACTTTGCCTCATTGAAATTGTCAGGCAGCTTTCGAGCAAAAAATGCCATTAGGAGGCACATGCAGGCCAAGATGCTGATGTATCCAAGAACACACCAAAAGCCAATCTCTGAGCCAGTCACACACTCAATGATGATGACAGCACTGTGATCTGTGTTGTTGTAGGCATGAGGTGGACTGGTGAGCAACCAGATAAGACAGATTATAACCTGAGTGGAGGGAAAAAGAGGATGTTGATTTGAATTCGACATTTACATTTTCAAAATTGACTTATGGAAAGTGTTTGTACCTGAACAACTGTTCCTAAAAGCACACTGGCTCTCTGTTGCGTGGGTCCAAACCACTTCATGGCATTACTTATTGGCAGTGTAGACCTGAAAGCCATGAGGACCACTACTGTCTTGGCCAGGAGGCATGAAATGCAGAGGGCAAAACTGATCCCAAACGCTGGGTACCTGATACGGCAAAGCCAGTCTGAAGGCTCACCAATAAACAACAGGCCAACAAGGAAGCACACAGCAAGAAACACCAAGAGAAGGAAGCTTAGTTCCATATTGTTGGCACGAACCAATGGTGTTTCTTTGTACTTGAAGAATATGGCAAGGATGGAGAGGGAAACACACGCTCCGAGTACAGATACAACACACAGCACAATACCCATTAACTCATGGTAAGACAAGTACTCAATAGTCTTTGGGATGCAAATATCTCTGGCTTTATTGGGCCATGTGTCCTCTGAGCAGCGTGAGCACTCTAAAGAATCTGTAGGCGGTAGAAAAAAACACTTTTTTAGTTTAAATAAGTCACTTTCAGAAACAAGCATCAAGAAAGGAGAAAAGGTGATAACAGCCAGAACACCAACACACCAGTATTATTACTGACTTCTCCCTCAGCACAGGGGACACAGTCAAAACAGCAGATGGGTTCCCCCTTTCTCCTGGCGATGCGGGAACCTGGAGGACAACTGACACTGCACACAGACTGGAAAGCCTGAAAGGCAAAGCTCAGAAAGACACACATTTTAAAACATATTCAGCAGGGTCTAACAGTTGTTATGCAAGGATCCAATTATGATACAGACTAAAAGGTGTATCACTTCAGCTACAAAATATCAGATTACAATAACATATCAGTCAAAATCGGGTCATTGATGGTGTTAATGTCTACAACATTCATTTGCAATTGATGTCAGTTTCAACTTGAAGGTGACCTTTTCTCCTTCTTGATTAACAATAAAGTATATTGCACACAAATAAGAACACATTAGCTGTTGTGTTAATCAAAACGACATACAACAACCTAAGAGGTGAACATGGTCTCAAGCCTGTTTTTAGAGAACACACCTGCTTTCCAACAGGCCATTGAATCACTGACTCATTTATGACCAGGCTGCGTCCATCAGGCGTGGAGGCATCATAGAAACCTACTTTACCAAATGTAGAGAACCATCAGGCCTCCTTTGCCAGTTCATGAGATCATAATAAGCAATGGGGGTCACCATTTTCATCAAAATTGACTTTCTCCCCAAGTGCAGAGAAATTTGCACGCTTCATGTAGTGAATGAGCTGAGGGAGGAATGGAAATAGGTTATCTAAACACAAACTATAGTGCATTTGACTTTTGACTTTTCAAATAAATGCTTAGGCTACAATTAGTCTCACCTGCCAAGGTTTAACATTCTTTAAGTCTGCGCAAGTGCGATTAAGGAAAGGCCCCTGTCCGACTTTGCAGTTACTCATATCTTCCAAAGCATGGGCTACCAAATACACAGACTTGTAAACATTATATGACACTCTTAGCTGTGTAACATCTGAATAAGGAGAGTAAACATTTTTTAAATCCTCTGTCCCTTTACATAGCAATCTGTTGAGGTGGGCGACACCACCATGAGAGTGGTTGTTCACTGATCCGTTCAATCTGCAGTTAAACAATTCCTCCCAAAATTCTGCCAAGAAAGCTGATTCATTAATATTGGATGGTCTGACACTGGTGAGGTGTTGTTTCAGACCTGGAATTACATCTGCTCTCCGGATGGCAAATCCTAGTGTTCCTGTTAGCAGATCTCCAAACTTTTCCCAGAGTGATTTAGCAGTGGCCCAAGCTTCACTTGCGATCCACTGCAGGCTGGTGATATTCCGATATCGGACTTCTCTCAGAATGCCCTGCATCTCTGACTCACTACTGAAGTTAATGATGACCTTTGAGGATGACATCTGCAGTAAAAAACATCCAGGTGAAAGTGAATGTTTAATACAATAATGAAATGTCATTTCATTATTGTAAGTAATGGTGTCTTGGATCTCCTACACCAAAATAGTTCAAGGTACAGAAAAGCACTGATCTATGAATGGACATATTATTTAAAGGCTGCGTCGAATATGTATACAAAAAAGCCAAAATAAATTGTTTTTGTATAACACAGAGTGCAATTTAACTACAATGTTGGTTTTGGAAGGTAATATAACTGACTTGACATTAAAAAAGTATTTCTTGCAGGTGATCAAGCTATTTTGTCTATATGAATGAAAACTATGCTTTTACCAAAAATTACCTGAATAACATCCAGAAGCTCATTTAGAGCCTGCTGACTCAGGCCCACAGGGTAGAAGTGAGTGTAGGAAGCACACACACCGTACTTCACAGACTCCTTCAGGAAAAGTTGAATGGCAAAGCGAGCATAATCAGATTCCACACCAATGACCCCAACCCAGGTCCAGCCAAAATAGCTAACCAGCCGGGCCAGGGCTCTGATCTGGAAGGCATCACTGGGCATGGTGCGCATGAAAGTGGGAAACTCCTTTTGGTTACTCAGACAGCTGCAAGATGCAAAATAGCTCACCTGGTATAGAAAACATGAATTACGTTCTGCATACTCACCGACCATCTGTTCAATAAGAATCACATTTCAACAAACAATACCATCGTCTTTAAAAGTATTCAATGGGACAACATTTTCCAGAACAAGGGGCCTAACTTCACAATTGAGGGAGACTTCTGAATGTTGTACTTTAAAAAAAATACAAACGCAATTTATTAACACTAAAATCATAATATTAGTAGAATCAAAAATTAAGTATTTAAAACTTGAATGTTAACAGCAAAAATCCTTGTGCATGTACCACCACATTTTGTTGAATAAAAAACATGTTGAATGATTAGGTTACTTCCTGTGGATTGAAAAAAATTAACCATTCTCAAAAAGAGAAAAGGAAAAAAGGGATTTACTCTTAAAAGTTGACATTTGGAAAAGCATAACCGTAAAAGAAGCCATAAAATATAGATTTAACATGGCAAAAACACATATTAGCACAATAAAAGTGACTTTAAGTCAATCTCACCAGTGGGATATGGAAAGAACCCAAGGTTTTTAGCAGAGCCATAGACACTCCAGAGGCAGCATCTCCTATGATTACCGGGGAGACAGTTTGTGCCGCAGCACAGCTTACATTATAATGACTGTTTCTTTCTAGAACTTTGTCCCTGTTCAAACTCTCAGCTCTGGTGCCGATGTCTGGCTGTCCATTCACCAACAGCAGGGCTGCACTCAGAGACACAGGTATGTCATCACAGCTGTCACGGATGTGGAACCCCAGCTTCAGGTGTGGCAGGAGGTCGCTGCGATGGTTGATCTCTTTGATTGCAAAAGTCATAGTCAGCATCCAGCGCAAGGCACGAGAGCTGAAACTGTACAGGAATAAAAGCAGTTAATCACGCAGCACAAGTATATACATTAAAATATACACATATGCACATACAATAATAATAATCTGTACTGCACAAGTCAACAAACAATCAAATATTCACTCACTACTTATACGTAAAAGGCGTCGGTTTTGTTTTGTATTTTGGAAGGGAAGACACAGGGCTGTAGTGCAAAGGGAATAAACCCCCTATAACGACATCTCCTTCTTCGTACAGACTGTTTTTCCGCTCTTCCCCCAAGAAAACACAGTTATCCAGGTCAGCAGCTAAACAATGTTGGCCCTGAGATAGAAAAAGAAACATAAGAAGCTTTGCAGCTAGCATTGCCATTGCTAAATATACAAGGAATAGTTTCCCTTTCTGGTAACGTTAGGAGTATGATGTTTCAGGACTCAGCTGATTTATAAACTGCAGCGAACACATGAATCTGAGGGTACCGCCCAAATAAAGTAATCAAAGTGTCATTACAGTTAACGCCGTACATTTATGAATACTCCAAAAGTCTTTCTATTTGAGTGTTTGAGGCATTAGATAAAAACTCCTTTTGTGTTGATTCATTATGAATGAATGCATAATTGACCAGTATTGGATGAGTTTAGAAATTAAATGTTTTTGATATCTAATACATGTCTATTGAATTATTGTAATTGACAAATTATTCAAATAGTCTTAATCCTCTCATTGTGTTTGAGTTTTATTTCTAATAAATACATGTTTAAAACATTGTTTTAAATTAAAACCCCATTTCTCTGTTCACTGGAACATTTTAAATGTTTTTGGGTCACCATGGACACCATGGAGTTAAATCGACATCTGTGGAAAATGTCTTAATGAGAGCTTAAATACATTATAATTTTCCTCTTACATCATTTATTTTTCAGTCTTTGTTAACTCCCTTTAGTAAATCAGGCGGAGCTGCTGATGTCCAATCCAGTCACACTCTGTCATCAATAAGATGTAACACTTACAGTAGGTGACAGTGAAGTGTTTATAACTTGTCTCATGTATTGCTCTCTTTCTCTCTCTCTCTCTCTCTCTCTCTCTCTCTCTCTCTCTCTCTCTCTCTCTGTCTATTGGGATGTGTAATATGAATCGACTTGTGTTAGTTCACTTGCTTTACTCTCAATGTGTCCTAACTCTAATGTATACCCCAATATGCAGCAACCCATCGCCACCATTTTCAGCCAAAGTATGCAAACTCCAAAACAGTTTTGAGCCATGCTTTGTGGCCAAAGGTGACTATATAATTGGAGGGATCTTCCCCCTTCACTATAACCAGGAGATGCCAGACCTGAACTGCACCTACAGGCCACCACCAATAAAATGCAATGGGTGAGTTTTGATTGATGTGGAAACCTTAGTGTGAGTATATAACTTGTGTATGAAACATTGTATGCAACTTGCATTCTTGTTTTATTGAATGATTAAGCAGAATATACTTGTATTGAACAGGTTTTAGTATGCATTGATAATTGAGCGTGACATGTTAGAAAACATTGATATGGTGTTACAGTAGCTTGAATTAAATGCACTTTTAGTTTAAGTTAGATTTAAAAAAACATATTTTTATCAATAGAGACACGCAAAAACTGACTTTCACATTTTTTATTTCTTTATTTTTGAGGGTGGGTAATTACCTAATCATCTATGCAATGATTTAAAGAAGAATCATAGAAAGATATGTATTTTGATACTTTTTATATTTCGAAAATTATAATTTGCTAATGTAGTGCAGCATTTGAACAATGTCTCTATTTTCCCCTAAATAGGTTAAAATGTACATTGGTCTTTCATAATAACATAGTGTAAATTATAGGGAACTTATTAAAGAAGCTTGGCCCGACATATCCTGGTAATATATTAGAAAAATAATGAGAACATGCGGACAAAGCAAAAATAAACTGATCAGTTATTTTATCACAAGAACCAAGATGCAAAGTAAACATTTAAAATAACTTAAAATTAACATAATCTCTGCCTTTAATTGTACCTTTTTTTTTACACACAATAAGTTTGAATGTGTATTTTGTGTGCATCTGTGATGTGTTTCTTGTGTGCACCTGTGTCTGTTTGTCTGCAGATTTGATCCCAGGGCTTTCCGCTGGGCTCAGACTATGAGGTTGGCAGTGGAGGAGATAAACCAGAGTGCATTATTGCCCAATTACACACTTGGGTACAAAATATTTGATTCATGTGCATATCCACTGACCGGCCAGAGGGCTGCTATGGCTGTGTTGAATGGGCAGAGTGAGGATGACTCTCCCACGTGCAGCGGTGCCTCCCCACTCCTCGCTGTGATCGGGGAATCTGGTTCTGCTCAATCTATTGTGGTGTCAAGAATCCTGCAACCATTCAGAATCCCAATGGTAATGATTTTTTCTTTTATCTGAAATCCCACCAACAGTTTTGTTTTTATACTATACTCTTTTTTATCCTTCTTCAAACAGATCAGTTACTTTTCTTCATGTGCATGTTTTACTGACAGAAAAAACTATCCCACCTTCTTCAGAGTAATCCCCAACGATGATTATCAGGTGAGAGTTTGGCCTTAATAGGTTGTTGATCATTATTCAGTGAAAAAAAAAGAAGAATATTATCCAAATGTAGTCTGTAAAATGTTCTTTATGTGTGTGTTTTTAGCCAAGTGTAACTATTTTGTGTTGAATGTAGGTGAAAGCCATTGCTCAGCTGCTGGTACGCTTCAACTTCACTTGGGTGGGGTTGGTGCGAGGAGACCATGAATACGGGCGCTTCGCTGTGCAAGGTTTGCTGAGAGAATTACAGGGTACCAAAGTGTGTGTTGCGTACCAAGAAATGATACCTCTGCTCTACAATCGCAAGAGGGCTCTGGAGATCTTGCAGGTAGATGCCAGATTGTATAGTATTAGAGAGCTCTAATCACACACAGATAACTTTACATTCTGATTACACATCAATGCCAGTCCCTACATTGAAAACAACATTGTTTTTTTCATAACAAAGAGACAAACAAGTAGATAGGGTTTATTAGCAGGCACTGCTGTTCTTTTCAAAGCATATTTGTTGTTATACTTTTGTCAAATATATAATGAGTCTTTCTTTAGCCTACTTACTTTTTTCTTGTCCTTTCCTTGTGAAATAAATGTCATCCATCATTGTTTGCCTTATCTGTGAAGGTGATGCGTAGCTCTACTGCAAAAGTGGTGGTGGTATTTTCAGCTGAGGGGGAGATGACGCCTTTCTTGAGAGACTATATGACACAGAACATCACTGGAATCCAGTGGGTTGCCAGTGAAGCGTGGGTCACAGCATCCGTCTTTACAGCCAGTGAGTATTACCCCTACCTAGGGGGCACCATCGGGTTTGGCATCAGAAAAGGTAAAATCTCCGGACTCAGTGACTACCTGCGGACAGTCAACCCTCAAATGTATCGTAATAATACTCTAGTTAAGGAGCTGTGGGAGGCCCTGTATGGTTGTGACCCTTCTCTGTCGTCTGGCTCCCTGTTGCCTTCATGCTCAGGACAGGAGACCCTGTTAGAGCAGCATTCAGCCTACATTAATACATCCAGCCCTAGAGTGGCCTATAACGTCTATAAGGCTGTGTATGCAATCGCTCATTCCCTGCACAACCTTCTTCTCTGTCAACCGGGCAGTGGCCCTTTCCAAAACAACTCATGTGCTCAAAGCAACAACATATACCCCTGGCAGGTATATATGTTCTTACAGTAATTTCACTTTAACTGTTTTTTTTTCATAATTCATATTTCATATTATCTTTTGGTTTTCAAGCTCCAGCACTACCTCCAGGAAGTGACATTTAACATTGCCGGGGAGGAAGTGAACTTTGACCTAAAGGGTGACTCTATACCTTATTATGACATTCTCAACTGGCAGAGAGGCATGGCCGGGAACATTGAATTTGTCAACGTGGGGTTGTTTGATGGAACCAAGCCTGCCGGAGAGGAGCTGTTAATCCAGGAGGACAGGATCATGTGGGCAGGGCATCAGAGTGAGGCAAGCTGCTCACACTGTGTTTTTACCTTCATCAGATCCCAGCTTTTGAAGTTCTGTAGGTTTAGGTGGAGGTAAGTCAGGTGACCAGGACAAGCTGGATCAGATGTGAGTCCCTTTGCATTACAGTAAAAATGTATTGAAAGCCCGCCATACAGTGTGATGTGTTTTGTGATTAAATGCTTCACAGTATAATCCCTCTGGTAGAATTCTTCTAAAATAAAAATAAATAGTATTCAAAGCTACACATTCTTGTTTAGCTTATGGATAATAACCCTGTCCCCAGTGTGAAAAGCACTGTTTTCCACACTTATATAAAATACCACAATATGAAAAATGCGCATCACAATTTTCAAGAGTTTTAATTTCTGCATCAGCTAGTTGCTTGTAAAGTCTAAGCAACAAACATAATGCAAAACTCTTCACTATGCAGTGATGTTCAATAGAAAAATAAGAACTTTTTTTCTGATTGAAATAGCTAGAACCAGCTAAATCTGACAATTCAGTTATCAAAGCTGTCTTTATTTTGTTTTTAAAAGGCCTTATCAAGGAACTGACTAAATATGTTGGCACACTGCAGAGCTGAAAGCCATTGTTTACTCCCTATAGGTGCCTATGTCTGTATGCAGCACCAGCTGTCTTCCAGGGTCCCGGAAAGCTGTCCGTCGTGGGGAGCCTGTCTGCTGCTTTGACTGTGTACCATGTGACAGCGGCAAAATTAGCAATCAGACAAGTGAGTTTAAAATCTTGAAATAAAAGAATCACAAGGTAATTCTTGTATTTCACTACCAACATGTTATATTTGATTATTTTCCCTTTAGATTCCATAGAGTGCACATTTTGTCCTGATGACTTCTGGTCAAATATTGACAGAACCGTCTGCGTCCTCAAGATAGTGGAGTTCTTGGCCTATGATTCCTTGGGTATAGCCCTGACAGTGATCTCTGTGGTGGGTGCCAGCCTCACTATAGCTGTCTTTGCGGTCTTTTTCTACCATAGAAACACAGCCATCGTCCGTGTAAATAACTCTGTACTCAGCTTCTTCATCCTCTTTGCTCTGACTCTGTGTTTCCTGTGTTCCCTGGTGTTCATTGGAGAGCCAACATATTGGTCCTGTATGCTGCGACACACTATTTTTAGTATAACCTTTTCATTTTGCATATCCTGTATTCTGGGGAAGACCCTGGTGGTGTTGGCTGCTTTCACTGCCACCAGACCAGGGGACAACATCATGAAGTGGCTGGGGCCCAAGCAGCAGAGGGCCATTATTTTCATTTGCACTGTAATTCAAGTGGTGATCTGTGCTGCATGGCTCATTGAGTCTCCCCCTTTTCCATCCCGAAATACACAATACGAAATTTCGAAGATCATACTGGAGTGCAGCGTAGGTTCCAGTCTTGCATTCTGGTGCGTTCTGGGATACATTGGTCTACAGGCCTGCCTGTGCTTTATACTGGCTTTTCTAGCACGTAAACTGCCTGGCAATTTCAACGAGGCCAAGGTCATCACTTTTAGCATGCTGATATTTTGTGCTGTGTGGCTATCATTCGTCCCTGCTTATATCAGCTCTCCTGGGAAATATGCTGATACAGTGGAGTCATTTGCCATTCTGGCTTCCAGCTTTGGCTTGTTGTTCTGCCTGTTTGCTCCAAAGTGTTTCATTATTTTACTAAAGCCAGAGAAAAATACAAGACAGCACCTAATGGGGAAATAAGCTTATCATAAGTTGAAATGTATTTGAAATCATATTCAATGTATGACATTGTTATTATAATTATTATTATAATAATTATTATTATTATATTTAATGATTTACTTCACATT